CCACTCGCATCGTTGTTACTTATAGTTTTTTATTATTTATTTAGATGTTTATCCAAAGCCATATTTGATTATTATGAGCTTCGATAAAGTATACTCTGTCGATTCTATTACTGGAGATATTCATGTCAGCACTATTAATGGATCCAGTAAGAATAAATTTGACCATGCATCAAAATATAATGACATAGAAATTGATGTAGTTGAGAATGTACTTTACTACATTGATGACAAAGACATCAAACGGGGAAATTTTGACTTAACTAGAAACGAAGTTTTTGCGAAAAATGTTTCTGTTCATGATATTACAGTTGACTGGATTGGTCGTCGTATCTTTTACATTGACGACACGAACATTATCTACCAAATTCATTTGGAAAAGAAAATTACAAGTGTTATGAGGCTTCAACCAGGCTTACAATTTTCCAGCATTGCATTTGACTCAAAACATGGGTAAGGCGATATTGAAATTTTTTTATTTACTTGTAAGCGTAATCAATGTCAATCTATTGGAGGGTTTTCTTAAGTAAGGTAAGAGTTTTTATTATTAGAGACGGCATTTTAATTTAATAGAAAAGTTGAATTTTTGAAGTCCGTATCATGGCCTGTTATTTAGAGGTACAAGAATAAAAAAAAATATTGATTTTCGAGGGAAATCAAAACTCGCTTTTACCCAAGGGAGCAAATATTAAGTATTTTTTTGTGTATAAAGAAACAAACGTCATATATTTCGACGGCTTTTCAATAAAATCAACTGGATTTGGCCAGCAATATTTTATTGCGTGACTATGAGGCATTTCAAACCAACTGAAAGGATGAGCTCAGCTCGTGTGATTATACAGCACACATGCAGTAGAAAATAACATGCAGATCCTGAAATTGCAAAAATCGACAGCGATATTTATGTTGAGCAAACAAAAAGCTTTGAGAAATATGTAACAACGGAGGGATCAATGTTTATAATTGATGAAGTCGTTAAATAAAATAAAACAGACCGATAGAAACAGCAATAAAATATTAAATAATTACTTTACCGATGAAACTTTGGTCAAATACTCACAGAATATTGGTTTGCCACAACCAAAAACAAAAAAGTAGTCCAACTTCACTGTGCAACTTGGTGTTGTACATTTAATAAGATTACTGGCTTCGGCTGGCCACCTAAGAGCGCTTTTCTTTAGCAGAAAATGCAATTTGCTTGACACCTCCATGGTAATCATATGCTTAATAAGATATGCCCTACACAAAAGATTTCAACAGATTGGGAGCATTGTTTGTTGCTTTGCTGTGCCCTTTCATATACTGTGCAACAATCTCAATACGAAATAGCAATAAAGTTTTACAAAAAATTCACGAAGGTGGTGAACGTCAAAAACTTCAACCTTTCGTTTTTTATTGAAGATAAAAAAACTGCGCACATTCCCACGTAGTTACATCAAAAATATAAAAAAGAATTTTAGTTTTCAAAAAATGTGGCAATTTAGAAAAAAATCAGTACATCAAGTTTATAGTTTTTCAAGCCTTCTTTTAACTTGCATTGAATGGCGGAGTATATTGAAAAGTCAAGAGTTGCAAATTAAGTGTCTGCACACTACCCTGTAATAAATCCAATCACACATCCAATCAAATCACGGGATTGGAAAATCGCTCCAATACCTTTAGTTCATGCAGTGTTTCTTAGTGTAATTGATGCAAACGTTAGATCTGTAGTTGCTCAACTGATGATGAATCTGAAGATAATAATCACTTTAGAGATTAAAAAGAAATTGTCTGAAAAGCCTGTGAAGCGAGAACTTTCTGAATATGTTTTAATTAATTTACAAATTTAAAAATATTTCCTCTTCTAACGATTCCTATGAACTCTCCATTCATGAGAGCCTTCTAATTAATAAATACAAGTCTTCACTCATCGTTCAAGAAAGTTCCGTTGCACTTAACCTCTCTTATGGTCAGTATATTTTATATTTTACTTCACAACTTCTTTATCATGTATTCCATTTTGCACCGCCTCCTTAATACATAATTTAACACCTTTTGTAAATACAATATCTTGTTTTAACATCTCATTATAAATTATAATTTGACTGAATATGTCTTGAGTTAGGACGAAACGTCGGTATAAATTCCATTTTACAACTTTTGGTCTATTTCTATGGCTCTAATTAAAACTTTATGTTGGGCATTAATTTTTATCATATTACAAGAAAAAATTAATTTTCACGAACACAAAAAACCAAAAGAACGTAAGTATATACGAGAAAGTTTTTAAAGACTTCGGGGCAAGGTGAAATGAACGACAAGAAGACATGGACTTTACTGTTACTCAAATGAGAAATATATTTAAGAAATGTATAAGAGAATGCAATAAGCTGCGATGATAATCAAAACTGCCAGTTGCATCAAACATTTTCGATAAAGTAAGGGCCATAGTGTTCAAGCAGTTTTTGCAGCTAGTCTAATCAAGAGAATCTTAAAAACAGTTGATCTTTTCCTGTTAGCTACAATAGCTTTATGTTGCTATATTATCAAATTTCATGAATATGTTCCATTAAACCGTCTATATATGAAAGTAGTTCTGAATACTTTGACAACATCTTTGTCTAAATTGAAAAAATCTATCTTTCCTTTTATGTATATATTAGCCTGTTTATTGTTTATGTATTTCATTACGTATAGAGAAAACTAATGTACAAAACAAATGTTTTTATTAAGGTATCTATTCTTGGCAGAAAGTACTGAAGTTTTCTTATGGTTATGGAGCATGACTGCGAATAAACATGATATTTTTTCAGTTTCACTTCAATCAATAGCACATGATCTAACGCTTGACATGGCTAAAGAGAAGATTTATTGGCGAGTTTCAAACGGAAATGTTTTTTCTTGTGATTACTACTCCCATGATGTAATTGATTTTGGAACTTCAGGAGGTCCCATGGCAGTATTTAAAGATTTCATTTATATCATAAATAGTGTCGGACGAAGTGTCGTTAGTGTCCATAACACAACAGATCAACGTACGAGGCGTAAATATTTTCTTCCTGTAAACAACGGTTATCTTGATTTGGCTGTAGCTATGCACAGTATCACTCCTGACTCAAACGGTAGTTAAATATTTACTTATTTGACATAACAAACTAAGACTTGCAAAAACTCTCACGCTAATGTACTTAAAATTGAAAGACGTTAAAAAGTGTAAAGTTACAATGCCTTATTAAACGGTTGTTCTTCCTTCCAAAATTATAGAAAATTTGATTAACATTAAGTTCAAAGTGCAAAGTGTCTAATCTGGATGTTTTTGCCGTTTGTCTATTCTTGCCAAATTTGTTGAGTGTTAAATTTATATCTTTATTGTTTCTTACATCATTTCGAAAATCACTCTGGCTTGTAATCAATTTTAAATAAGAAAAAAATTCATGAAAATAGAATGAAAGACAAAAACGTTCAATTTGAGCATGTTGTGCAGTGAGCTTAATATTTATCAAATCTTCTAAATATTTAGTACATTGCAAAACAGAGTTCAAACTTTTAAATCTTTGGATTAAACTAGATTGAAAGTTTTCATTTTCTTTCTGCATGCAGTTCAAAGTGAGGCAATTACGAAGTACTCTCATGGTTTTCGAGATTAAATCTTAATTCATTTTACTTTTAAATAATCAAGACAAGACAATGCCAAAATACATGAGCTTTGGCACATTTTGTTAGAAATATTGATGAATTGACAATTTCCTGAACATTTTTTAATTATCTAACTTCTTTAGATACATCCTTTATAGTATCCCGAACAGCCAGCAAATCTGTTAATACTCTGTAAATTTTCAACATTTATTTAATTGTTTTGTTTTTACGATATTCGTGAACACCAAAGATACCAACAATACATCACAAATTTCCTAGCTGGGTACGTCATAGTGGATACTGAATGACAAATTGTGTTCTTTGAGAAAGAACATGTTTTCTTTTTAAATCCATAGTTGATTTTATTTTTAATTTTATTATTCTATATAGCAACAAACACTTTTCGACTTCCTTTATGTGGACCAAACACTTACTATCGTAAAATTAATGGATCATTAAACTGCACGTGTATGAAAGGATACTCAGGAGAATGTAACTCGTGCCAGGGTATGGATTTATAACTAAACAAACACAACTTGTTCCACAAGGACATAATTAAACATAACCTAGTATATCTATGCCCATAAAAAGATGAAGTAATACCAGAGAAAAAGGACCGCCTATTGAACAAATTTACCGTGGAGAAATGTGATAATCCTTATATTGTTTGTTTTGTTACGATTTTTACATTAATTATGGCTTTTTAAAGCTGCAGGCTTTAGCTTATATAGCTCCATTAGAATTTTTTTGCATATTAAAAAGGAGCATCTCCAAATTAACGCTGCAGTGTAATTTTATGTCTTTTAATGTCGTGCTGTCTATCTTAACAATTTATTTTTAATTTATTTTTAACTAACCGTTAAGGTTCAGCTTAAAGCCATGCCTAGAGAGCACCAAAAACGTATTTATGAATAAGTAAAAAGACTGTTATTTTAAAAATACGATATAGTTTTCCACGTTGTAAGCGAAGAGTATATGTGAACAATTTACTTTTATTTTTTGCTTGTTTCAACAAGTTATGGGGCAGTGTTGCCATATGGCAATAAAATCAAATGATTGAATGGAAAACTAATGGGAGAATTCGCAATTTAAAGTGTTAATAAGATATTTATATTACAAAAAGAAATGAGGACTGATCTAAATAAAAAATTATTTAGACTCATGAAAGTCAAACAGTGTCTACTTGTCTAAAACGTTTTGATATTGTACTCATGTAATATTTTTCATCAATTTTTTGTTACTAATTCAATTCATTAATTTCGCCTTAGAAGATTTTACAATGGCATCTAACATATTATAATACTTTATATATATACATGTAACTTAGAATATTTCGGAGTTCAGAATTCTATGTTTTGCAATATCTCTTTATTTTCTCTTTTTATCAGTTATTAACTCTGTTAGACTTCGGGGACCAGAAATTTCTATTGGCAAAGGTCGTGTAGAAGTATTTTACAATGGAGAATGGGGAACAATTTGTGATGATGGCTGGGATATAAACGATGCTACAGTTGTTTGTCGACAACTTGGTTATGACAATGGTGTCAAGGCTTTACTAGGAGGTAAAGTTCCTTATGGCAGTGGAACAATATGGTTGGATGAAGTTTCTTGTGAAGGAAATGAAAATATTATTTCGAGTTGCTCACATAGAGGATGGGGATCACATAATTGTGGACATGATGAAGATGTTGGTGTACAATGTTCAGGTTTGTTTGTACATTATTTACTTTTTTGTACAAAGATGATAAACTGAATTATTTGGGGGATCCTCAATGATGAACTTAAGATTTAATATGATTTAATAATACTGAAACAGATATTGCCAAATGCCTTAAGTATAAACACAGCTTCGGACATAAATTAACCAAATAAACACAACTCGTTTCACGAGTACATAATTAAACATAACCAATTTTATGAATGCCCAGAGAATGATGCCACATTAACAGAGAAATTGGGCAGTCCATTGGCCAACTTTTCCTTGGAGGAATATGATAATCCTTAAATTATCAGTTTTGTTACGATTGTTTACATTCATTATAGCTATTTAAAGCTGTATGCTGTAGCTTATGATGCTCCATTAAAATTTTTTTGCACATTAATAAGGAGCATCTCCAAATTTACACTGCAGTGTAATTTTATGTCTTGTAATGGCGTGCTGTCTATCTTAAGAATTCATTTTAAATTCGTTTTAACTGACCGTTAAGATTTAGCTAAAGCCATACCTAGAGAGCACCAGAAACATACTTCTCAATAATTAAAAAGACAGTTATTTATAAAATGCGATAAAGATTCCCACGTTTTAAACGAAGAGTATGAGTGAACTATTTACACTTTATTTTTTGCCTGGATCAACAAGTTATGGGGTAGTTTTTACATATTGCAATATAATGAAATGATTGAATGGGAAACCAAAGGGGAAAGTTCGCAAGTTAACCGGTTAAGAACTTACTTATATTACATAAAGAAATGAGGACTGGTCTAAATAAAAGTTTTTTCGACTCATGAAAGTCAAATAGTGTGTCTGATGGTCCAAAACGTTTTGATATTGTACTTATGTAAGTTTTTTTATCAAATTTTTGTTACTAATTTAAATGATTAATTTCGCACAAGAATATTTTACAATGGCACCTAACATAACAGGATACTTTATATATAAACATGTAACTTAGAATATTTTGGAGTGAAGACTTCTATGTTTGGCAATATCTCTTTATTTTCTTTTTTTATCAGTTAACAACTCTGTTAGACTTTGGGGACCAGAAAGTTCTATTGGCAGAGGTCGTGTGGATATATTTTACAATGGAGAATGGGGAACAATTTGTGATGATGGCTGGGATTTAAACGATGCTAAAGTTGTTTGTCGACAACTTGGTTATGACTATGCTGGCAGGGCTTTACTAGGAGGTAATGTTCCACATGGCAGTGGAAGAATATGGTTAGACGAAGTTCGTTGTGTAGGAAATGAAAATAATATTTCGAGTTGTTCACATAGTGGATGGGGATCACATAATTGTACACATGATGAAGATGCTGGTATACAATGTTCAGGTTTGTTTCTACATTATTTACATTTATTTACAAAGATAATAAACTGAATTATTTGAAGGATCCTCAATGATTAATCGAAACATTTAATATGATTTTCAAATACTGAAACAATATTGACAAATTCCTTAAGTATAAACACAGCTTCGGGCGTAAATTAACCATATAAACACAACTCGTTCCACGAGGACATAATTAAACATAACCTATATTATGATTGCCCATAGAAAGATTCGATAATACTCGAGAAAAAGGGCAGTCCATTGACCAAATTTTCCGTGGAGGAATGTAATAATCCTTAAATTATCTGTTTTTTTACGATTGTTTACTTTATTATACTTTTTAAAGCTGTAGGCTGTAGCTTCTAAAGGTTATTAAAATTTTTTTTATCATATTTAACAGAAGCATCTCAAATTAACACTGAGTGTAATTTTATGTCTTTAATGTCGTGCTGTCTATCTTAAGAATTCATTTTTAATTTGTTTTTAGCTGACCGTTAAGGTTCATCTAAAGCCATGCCTAGAGAGCACCTGAAACGTATTTCTGAATAATTAAAAAGACAGTTATTTTAAAAATACGATATAGTTTTCCACGTTGTAAGCGAAGAGTCTATGTGAACAATTTACTTTTTACTTTTTTGCTTGTTTCAACAAGTTATGGGTCAGTGTTGCCATATGGCAATAAAATCAAATGATTGAATGGAAAACTAATGGGAACATTCGCAAGTTAAAGTGTTAATAAGATATTTATATTACAAAAAGAAATGAGGACTGATCTAAATAAAAATTATTTAGACTCATGAAAGTCAAATAGTGTCTACTTGTCTAAAACGTTTTGATATTGTACTCATGTAAGTTTTTTTATCAATTTTTTGTTACTAATTTAATTCATTAATTTCGCCTAAGAAGATTTTACAATGGCATCTAACATATTAGGATACTTTATATGTATACATGTAACTTAGAATATTTCGGAGTTGAGACTTCTATGTTTTGCATTATCTCTTGATTTTCTTTTTTTATCAGTTATCAACTCTGTTAGACTTCGGGGACCAGAAAGTTCTATTGGCAAAGGTCGTGTAGAAGTATTTTACAATGGAGAATGGGGAACAATTTGTGATGATGGCTGGGATTTAAACGATGCTAAAGTTGTTTGTCGACAACTTGGTTATGACTATGCTGGCAGGGCTTTAATAGGACGTAATGTTCCACATGGCAGTGGAAGAATATGGTTAGACGACGTTCAATGTGTAGGAAATGAAAGTAATATTTCGAGTTGTTCACATAGAGGATGGGGATTGCATAATTGTAAACATTATGAAGATGCTGGTGTACAATGTTCAGGTTTGTATGTACATTATTTACCTTTTTATAGAAAGATGATAAACTTAAATATTTGAGGGATCTTCAAATAGATTTGACAAATGCCTGTATAAACACAGCTTCGGACGTAAATTAACCAAATAAACACAACTCGTTCCACGAGTACATAATTAAACATAACCAATTTTATGATTGCCCAGAGAAAGATTCGACAATACCAGAGAAAATGGGCAGTCCATTGGCCAACTTTTCCTTGGAGGAATATGATAATCCTTAAATTATCAGTTTTGTTACGATTGTTTACATTCATTATAGCTATTTAAAGCTGTATGCTGTAGCTTATGATGCTCCATTAAAATTTTTGCACATTAATAAGGAGCATCTCCAAATTTACACTGCAGTGTAATTTTATGTCTTGTAATGGCGTGCTGTCTATCTTAAGAATTCATTTTAAATTCGTTTTAACTGACCGTTAAGATTTAGCTAAAGCCATACCTAGAGAGCACCAGAAACATATTTCTCAATAATTAAAAGACAGTTATTTTAAAATGCGATAAAGATTCCCGTTTTAAACGAAGAGTATGAGTGAACTATTTACTCTTTATTTTTGCCTGTATCAACAAGTTATGGGTTAGTTTTGCCATATTGCAATAAAATGAAATGATTGAATGGGAAACCAATGGGGAAAGTTCGCAAGTTAACGGGTTAAGAACTTATTTATATTACATAAATAAATGAGGACTGGTCTAAATAAAATTTTTTTTCGACTCGTGAAAGTCAAATAGTGTGTCTGATGGTCCAAAACGTTTTGATATTGTACTTATGTAAGTTTTTTTTATCAAATTTTTGTTACTAATTTAAATGATTAATTTCGCACAAGAATATTTTACAATGGCACCAACATAACAGGATACTCTATATATAAACATGTAACTTAGAATATTTTGGAGTGAAGACTTCTATGTTTTGCAATATCTCTTTATTTTCTTTTTTTATCAGTTATCAACTCTGTTAGACTTCGGGGACCAGAAAGTTCTATTGGCAGAGGTCGTGTGGATGTATTTTACAATGGAGAATGGGGAACAATTTGTGATGATGGCTGGGATTTAAACGATGCTAAAGTTGTTTGTCGACAACTTGGTTATGACTATGCTGGCAGGGCTTTACTAGGAGGTAATGTTCCACATGGCAGTGGAAGAATATGGTTAGACGAAGTTCGTTGTGTAGGAAATGAAAATAATATTTCGAGTTGTTCACATAGTGGATGGGGATCACATAATTGTACACATGATGAAGATGCTGGTATACAATGTTCAGGTTTGTTTCTACATTATTTACATTTATTTACAAAGATAATAAACTGAATTATTTGAAGGATCCTCAATGATTAATCGAAACATTTAATAAGATTTTCAAATACTGAAACATTTTTGACAAATTCCTTATGTATATACACAGCTTCGGACGTAAATTAACCATATAATCACAACTCGTTCCACGAGGACATAATTAAACATAACCTATTTTATGATTGCCCGTAGAAAGATTAGATAATACTCGAGAAAAAGGGCAGTCCATTGACCAAATTTTCCGTGGAGGAGTGTAATAATCCGAAAATTATTTGTTTTTTTTACGATTGTTTACATTCATTATATGTTTTCTAAAGCTATAGGCTGTAGCTTATAAAGGTCCATTAAAATTTTTTTGCATATTTTACAGAAGCATCTCCAAATTAACACTGAGTGTAATTTTATGTCTTTTAATGTCGTGCTGTCTATCTTAAGAATTCATTTTTAATTTGTTTTTAACTGACCGTTAAGGTTCAGCTAAAGCCATGCCTAGAGAGCACCAGAAACTTATTTCTGAATAATTAAAAAGACAGTTATTTTAAAATACGATATAGTTTTCCACGTTGTAAGCGAAGAGTCTATGTGAACAATTTACTTTTTATTTTTGCTTGTTTCAACAAGTTATGGGCAGTGTTGCCATATGGCAATAAAATCAAATGATTGAATGGAAAACTAATGGGAACATTCGCAAGTTAAAGTGTTAATAAGATATTTATATTACAAAAGAAATGAGGACTGATCTAAATAAAAATTATTTAGACTCATGAAAGTCAAATAGTGTCTACTTGTCTAAAACGTTTTGATATTGTACTCATGTAAGTTTTTATCAATTTTTGTTACTAATTTAATTCATTAATTTCGCCTAAGAAGATTTTACAATGGCATCTAACATATTAGGATACTTTATATGTATACATGTAACTTAGAATATTTCGGAGTTGAGACTTCTATGTTTTGCATTATCTCTTGATTTTCTTTTTTTATCAGTTATCAACTCTGTTAGACTTCGGGGACCAGAAAGTTCTATTGGCAAAGGTCGTGTAGAAGTATTTTACAATGGAGAATGGGGAACAATTTGTGATGATGGCTGGGATATAAACGATGCTAAAGTTGTTTGTCGACAACTTGGTTATGACTATTATTTCAGGGCTTTACTAGGAGGTAATGTTCCACATGGCAGTGGAAGAATATGGTTAGACGACGTTCAATGTGTAGGAAATGAAAGTGATATTTCGAGTTGTTCACATACAGTATGGGGATTGCATAATTGTAGACATAATGAAGATGCTGGTGTACAATGTTCAGGTTTGTATGTACATTATTTACATTTTATACACAGATGATTAACTGAATTATTTGAGGGATGTTCAATGATTAATTGAAACATTCAACATGATTTTATAATACTGAAATAGATATTGACAAATGCCTTAAGTATAAACACAGCTTCGGACGTAAATTAACCAAATAAACACAACTCGTTCCACGAATGCATAATTAAACATAACCAATTTTATCATTGCCCAGAGAAAGATTCGACAATACCAGAGAAAATGGGCAGTCCATTGGCAAAGTTTTCCTTGGAGGAATATGATAATCCTTAAATTATCAGTTTTGTTACGATTGTTTACATTCATTATAGCTATTTAAAGCTGTATGCTGTAGCTTATGATGCTCCATTGAAATTTTTTTGCACGTTAATAAGGAGCATCTCCAAATTTACACTGCAGTGTAATTTTATGTCTTGTAATGGCGTGGTGTCTATCTTAAGAATTCATTTTTAAATTCGTTTTTCTTACTGACCGTTAAGATTTAGCTAAAGACATACCTAGAGAGCACCTGAAACATACTTCTCAATAATTAAAAAGACAGTTATTTTAAAATGCGATAAAGATTCCACGTTTTAAACGAAGAGTATGAGTGAACTATTTACTCTTTATTTTTGCCTGTATCAACAAGTTATGGGTAGTTTTGCCATATTGCAATAAAATGAAATGATTGAATGGGAAACCAATGGGGAAAGTTCGCAAGTTAACGGGTTAAGAACTTATTTATATTACATAAAGAAATGAGGACTGGTCTAAATAAAAATTTTTTTCGACTCATGAAAGTCAAATAGTGTGTCTGATGGTCCAAAACGTTTTGATATTGTACTTATGTAAGTTTTTATCAAATTTTGTTACTAATTTAAATCATTAAATTCGCACAAGAATATTTTACAATGGCACCCAACATAACAGGAGACTTTATATATAAACATGTAACTTAGAATATTTTGGAGTGAAGACTTCTATGTTTTGCAATATCTCTTTATTTTCTTTTTATCAGTTATCAACTCTGTTAGACTTCGGGGACCAGAAAGTTCTATTGGCAGAGGTCGTGTGGATGTATTTTACAATGGAGAATGGGGAACAATTTGTGATGATGGCTGGGATTTAAACGATGCTAAAGTTGTTTGTCGACAACTTGGTTATGACTATGCTGGCAGGGCTTTACTAGGAGGTAATGTTCCACATGGCAGTGGAAGAATATGGTTAGACGAAGTTCGTTGTGTAGGAAATGAAAATAATATTTCGAGTTGTTCACATAGTGGATGGGGATCACATAATTGTACACATGATGAAGATGCTGGTATACAATGTTCAGGTTTGTTTCTACATTATTTACATTTATTTACAAAGATAATAAACTGAATTATTTGAAGGATCCTCAATGATTAATCGAAACATTTAATATGATTTTCAAATACTGAAACAATATTGACAAATTCCTTAAGTATAAACACAGCTTCGGACGTAAATTAACCATATAAACACAACTCGTTCCACGAGGACATAATTAAACATAACCTATTTTATGATTGCCCATAGAAAGATTCGATAATACTCGAGAAAAGGGCAGTCCATTGACCAAATTTTCCGTGGAGGAATGTAATAATCCTTAAATTATCTGTTTTTACGATTGTTTACATTCATTATAGCTTTTAAAGCTGTAGGCTGTAGCTTATAAAGGTTATTAAAATTTTTTTAACATATTTAACAGAAGCATCTCCAAATTAACACTGAGTGTAATTTTATGTCTTTAGTGTCGTGCTGTCTATCTTAAGAATTCATTTTAATTTGTTTTAACTGACCGTTAAGGTTCAGCTAAAGCCATGCCTAGAGAGCACCAGAAACGTATTTCTGAATAATTAAAAGACAGTTATTTTAAAAATACGATATAGTTTTCCACGTTGTAAGCGAAGAGTCTATGTGAACAATTTACTTTTTATTTTTGCTTGTTTCAACAAGTTATGGGCAGTGTTGCCATATGGCAATAAAATCAAATGATTGAATGGAAAACTAATGGGAACATTCGCAAGTTAAAGTGTTAATAAGATATTTATATTACAAAAGAAATGAGGACTGATCTAAATAAAAATTATTTAGACTCATGAAAGTCAAATAGTGTCTACTTGTCTAAAACGTTTTGATATTGTACTCATGTAAGTTTTTTATCAATTTTTGTTACTAATTTAATTCATTAATTTCGCCTAAGAAGATTTTACAATGGCATCTAACATATTAGGATACTTTATATGTATACATGTAACTTAGAATATTTCGGAGTTGAGACTTCTATGTTTTGCATTATCTCTTGATTTTCTTTTTTTATCAGTTATCAACTCTGTTAGACTTCGGGGACCAGAAAGTTCTATTGGCAAAGGTCGTGTAGAAGTATTTTACAATGGAGAATGGGGAACAATTTGTGATGATGGCTGGGATATAAACGATGCTAAAGTTGTTTGTCGACAACTTGGTTATGACTATTATTTCAGGGCTTTACTAGGAGGTAATGTTCCACATGGCAGTGGAAGAATATGGTTAGACGACGTTCAATGTGTAGGAAATGAAAATAATATTTCGAGTTGTTCACATAGAGGATGGGGATTGCATAATTGTAGACATTATAAGATGCTGGTGTACAATGTTCAGGTTTGTATGTACATTATTTACATTTTATACAAAGATGATAAACTGAATTATTTGAGGGATCTTCAATGATTAATTGAAACATTTAATATGATTTTATAATACTGAAATAGATATTGACAAATGCCTTAAGTATAAACACAGCTTCGGACGTAAATTAACCAAATAAACACAACTCGTTCCACGAGTACATAATTAAACATAACCAATTTTATGATTGCCCAGAGAAAGATTCGACAATACCAGAGAAAATGGGCAGTCCATTGGCCAACTTTTCCTTGGAGGAATATGATAATCCTTAAATTATCAGTTTTGTTACGATTGTTTACATTCATTATAGCTATTTAAAGCTGTATGCTGTAGCTTATGATGCTCCATTAAAATTTTTTTGCACATTAATAAGGAGCATCTCCAAATTTACACTGCAGTGTAATTTTATGTCTTGTAATGGCGTGCTGTCTATCTTAAGAATTCATTTTAAATTCGTTTTAACTGACCGTTAAGATTTAGCTAAAGCCATACCTAGAGAGCACCAGAAACATATTTCTCAATAATTAAAAGACAGTTATTTTAAAATGCGATAAAGATTCCACGTTTTAAACGAAGAGTATGAGTGAACTATTTACTCTTTATTTTTGCCTGTATCAACAAGTTATGGGGTAGTTTTGCCATATTGCAATAAAATGAAATGATTGAATGGGAAACCAATGGGAAAGTTCGCAAGTTAACGGGCTAAGAACTTATTTATATTACATCAAGTAATGAGGACTGGTCTAAATAAAAACTTTTTTCGACTCATGAAAGTCAAATAGTGTGTCTGATGGTCCAAAACGTTTTGATATTGTACTTATGTAAGTTTTTTTATCAAATTTTGTTAATAATTTAAATCATTAATTTCGCACAAGAATATTTTACAATGGCACCCAACATAACAGGATACTTTATATATAAACATGTAACTTAGAATATTTTGGAGTGAAGACTTATATGTTTTGCAATATCTCTTTATTTTCTTTTTTTATCAGTTATCAACTCTGTCAGACTTCGGGGACCAGAAAGTTCTATTGGCAGAGGTCGTGTGGATGTATTTTACAATGGAGAATGGGGAACAATTTGTGATGATGGCTGGGATTTAAACGATGCTAAAGTTGTTTGTCGACAACTTGGTTATGACTATGCTGGCAGGGCTTTACTAGGAGGTAATGTTCCACATGGCAGTGGAAGAATATGGTTAGACGAAGTTCGTTGTGTAGGAAATGAAAATAATATTTCGAGTTGTTCACATAGTGGATGGGGATCACATAATTGTACACATGATGAAGATGCTGGTATACAATGTTCAGGTTTGTTTCTACATTATTTACATTTATTTACAAAGATAATAAACTGAATTATTTGAAGGATCCTCAATGATTAATCGAAACATTTAATATGATTTTCAAATACTGAAACAATATTGACAAATTCCTTAAGTATAAACACAGCTTCGGACGTAAATTAACCATATAAACACAACTCGTTCCACGAGGACATAATTAAACATAACCTATTTTATGATTGCCCATAGAAAGATTCGATAATACTCGAGAAAAGGGCAGTCCATTGACCAAATTTTCCGTGGAGGAATGTAATAATCCTTAAATTATCTGTTTTTTACGATTGTTTACATTCATTATAGCTTTTTAAAGCTGTAGGCTGTAGCTTATAAAGCTCCATAAAAATTTTTTTTGCATATTTAACAGAAGCATCTCCAAATTAGCATTGAGTGTAATTTTATGTCTTTTAATGTCGTGCTGTCTATCTTAAGAATTCATTTTAATTTGTTTTAACTGACCGTTAAGGTTCAGCTAAAGCCATGCCTAGAGAGCACCAGAAACGTATTTCTGAATAATTAAAAAGACAGTTATTTTAAAATACGATATAGTTTTCCACGTTGTAAGCGAAGAGTCTATGTGAACAATTTACTTTTTATTTTTTTGCTTCTTTCAAAAAGTTATGGGGTAGTGTTGCCATATGGCAATATAATCAAATGATTGAATGGAAAACTAATGGGAACATTCGCAAGTTAAAGTGTTAATATGATATTTATATTACAAAAAGAAATGAGGACTGATCTAAATAAAAAATTATTTGGACTCATGAAAGTCAAATAGTGTCTACTTGTCTAAAACGTTTTGATATTGTACTCATGTAAGTTTTTTTATCAATTTTTGTTACTAATTTAAGTCATTAATTTCGCCCAAGAAGATTTTACAATGGCATCTAACATATTAGGATACTTTATATGTATACATGTAACTTAGAATATTTCGGAGTTGAGACTTCTATGTTTTGCATTATCTCTTGATTTTCTTTTTTTATCAGTTATCAACTCTGTTAGACTTCGGGGACCAGAAAGTTCTATTGGCAGAGGTCGTGTAGAAGTATTTTACAATGGAGAATGGGGAACAATTTGTGATGATGGCTGGGATATAAACGATGCTAAAGTTGTTTGTCGACAACTTGGTTATGACTATTATTTCAGGGCTTTACTAGGAGGTAATGTTCCACATGGCAGTGGAAGAATATGGTTAGACGACGTTCATTGTGTAGGAAACGAAAATAATATTTCGAGTTGTTCACATAGAGGATGGGGATTGCATTATTGTAGACATGATGAAGATGCTGGTGTACAATGTTCAGGTTTGTATGTACATAATTTACATTTTTATACAAAGATGATAAACTGAATTATTTGAGGGATCTTCAATGATTAATTGAAACATTTAATATGATTTTATAATACTGAAATAGATATTGACAAATGCCTTAAGTATAAACACAGCTTCGGACGTAAATTAACCAAATAAACACAACTCGTTCCACGAGTACATAATTAAACATAACCAATTTTATGATTGCCCAGAGAAAGATTCGACAATACCAGAGAAAATGGGCAGTCCATTGGCCAACTTTTCCTTGGAGGAATATGATAATCCTTAAATTATCAGTTTTGTTACGATTGTTTACATTCATTATAGCTATTTAAAGCTGTATGCTGTAGCTTATGATGCTCCATTAAAATTTTTGCACATTAATAAGGAGCATCTCCAAATTTACACTGCAGTGTAATTTTATGTCTTGTAATGGCGTGCTGTCTATCTTAAGAATTCATTTTAAATTCGTTTTAACTGACCGTTAAGATTTAGCTAAAGCCATACCTAGAGAGCACCAGAAACATATTTCTCAATAATTAAAAGACAGTTATTTTAAAAATGCGATAAAGATTCCCGCGTTTTAAACGAAGAGTATGAGTGAACTATTTACTCTTTATTTTTTGCCTGTATCAACAAGTTATGGGGTAGTTTTGCCATATTGCAATAAAATGAAATGATTGAATGGGAAACCAATTGGGAAAGTTCGCAATTTAACGGGTTAAGAACTTATTTATATTACATAAAGAAATGAGGACAGGTCTAAATAAAAACTTTTTTCGACTCATGAAAGTCAAACAGTGTGTCTAATGGTCCAAAACGTTTTGATATTGTACTTATGTAAGTTTTTTAATCAAATTTTTGTTTCTAATTTAAATGATTAATTTCGCCAAGAATATTTTACAATGGCACCCAACATAACAGGATATTTTATATATAAACATGTAACTTAGAATATTTTGGAGTAAGACTTGTATGTTTTGCAATATCTCTTTATTTTCTTTTTTATCAGTTTTCAACTCTGTTAGACTTCGTGGACCAGAAAGTTCTATTGGCAGAGGTCGTGTGGATGTATTTTACAATGGAGAATGGGGAACAATTTGTGATGATGGCTGGGATTTAAACGATGCTAAAGTTGTTTGTCGACAACTTGGTTATGACTATGCTGGCAGGGCTTTACTAGGAGGTAATGTTCCACACGGCAGTGGAAGAATATGGCTAGACGAAGTTCGTTGTGTAGGAAATGAAAATAATATTTTGAGTTGTTCACATAGTGGATGGGGATCACATAATTGTATACATGATGAAGATGCTGGTATAGAATGTTCAGGTTTGTTTCTACATTATTTACATTTATTTACAAAGATAATAAACTGAATTATTTGAAGGATCCTCAATGATTAATCGAAACATTTAATATGATTTTCAAATACTGAAACAATATTGACAAATTCCTTAAGTATAAACACAGCTTCGGACGTAAATTAACCATATAAACACAACTCGTTCCACGAGGACATAATTAAACATAACCTATTTTATGATTGCCCATAGAAAGATTCGATAATACTCGAGAAAAAGGGCAGTCCATTGACCAAATTTTCCGTGGAGGAATGTAATAATCCTTAAATTATCTGTTTTTTTACGATTGTTTACATTCATTATAGCTTTTTAAAGCTGTAGGCTGTAGCTTATAAAGGTCCATTAAAATTTTTTTTGCATATTTAACAGAAGCATCTCCAAATTAACACTGAGTGTAATTTTATGTCTTTTAATGTCGTGCTGTCTATCTTAAGAATTCATTTTAATTTGTTTTAACTGACCGTTAAGGTTCAGCTAAAGCCATGCCTAGAGAGCACCAGAAACGTATTTCTGAATAATTAAAAAGACAGTTATTTTAAAAATACGATATAGTTTTCCACGTTGTAAGCGAAGAGTCTATGTGAACAATTTACTTTTTATTTTTCTGCTTGTTTCAACAAGTTATGAGGCAGTGTTGCCATATGGCAATAAAATCAAATGATTGAATGGAAAACTAATGGGAACATTCGCAAGTTAAAGTGTTAATAAGATATTTATATTACAAAAAGAAATGAGGACTGATCTAAATAAAATTCATTTAGACTCATGAAAGTCAAATAGTGTCTACTTGTCTAAAACGTTTTGATATTGTACTCATGTAAGTTTTTTATCAATTTTTCATTACTAGTGTAATTCATTAATTTCGCCTAAGAAGATTTTACAATGGCATCTAACATATTAGGATACTTTATATGTATACATGTAACTTAGAATATTTCGGAGTTAAGACTTCTATGTTTTGCATTATCTCTTGATTTTCTTTTTTTATCAGTTATCAACTCTGTTAGACTTCGGGGACCAGAAAGTTCTATTGGCAGAGGTCGTGTAGAAGTATTTTACAATGGAGAATGGGGAACAATTTGTGATGATGGCTGGGATATAAACGATGCTAAAGTTGTGTGTCGACAACTTGGTTATGACTATTATTTCAGGGCTTTACTAGGAGGTGATGTTCCTTATGGCAGTGGAAGAATATGGTTAGACGACGTTCAATGTGCAGGAAATGAAAGTAATATTTCGAGTTGTTCACATAAAGAATGGGGATTGCATAATTGTAGACATCATGAAGATGCTGGTGTACAATGTTCAGGTTTGTATGTACATTATTAACATTTTTATACAAAGATGATAAACTGAATTATTTGAGGGATCTTCAATGATTATCTGAAACATTTAACATAATTTTATAATACTAAAATAGAAATTGACAAATGCCTTAAGTATAAACACAGCTTCGGACGTAAATTAACCAAATAAACACAACTCGTTCCACGAGCACATAATTGAACATAACCAATTTTATGATTGCCCAGAGAAAGATTCGACATAACCAGAGAAAATGGGCAGTCCATTGGCCAACTTTTCCTAGGAGGAATATGATAATCCTTAAATTATCAGTTTTGTCACGATTGTTTACATTCATTATAGCTATTTAAAGCTGTATGCTGTAGCTTATGATGCTCCATTAAAATTTTTTTGCACATTAATAAGGAGCATCTCCAAATTTACACTTCAGTGTAAATTTATGTCTTGTAATGGCGTGCTGTCTATCTTAAGAATTCGTTTTTAAATTCGTTTTTAACTGACCGTTAAGATTTAGCTAAAGCCATACCTAGAGAGCACCAGAAACACATTTCTCAATAATTAAAAAGACAGTTATTTTAAAAAACACTTGAAAAAAACGACAGTAATTTAAAAAATGCGATAAAGATTCCCACGTTTTAAAGGAAGAGTATGAGTGAACTATTTACTCTTTATTTTTTGCCTGTATCAACAAGTTATGGGGTAGTTTTGCCATATTGCAATAAAATGAAATGATTGAATAGGAAACCAATGGGGAAAGTTCACAAGTTAACCGGTTAAGAACTTATGCACAGGGGTTAAACTAGCACCTTTTTAATGTGGGGAGGGGGGGGGATGAAATTGCCTGCAAGGACACAACAAGCCCTGCAGATCATATAGATTAGTACTTATTCAACAATGAAATATTGTGATGATTGAACAGATTTTCGCTATATATTTTTATAATACATATTGTATTCTTGTGACAGAACGCACTTTAGCGTATTATTAAATCTTTAATGTCATTTTTTGCATCCTTACAGTTGCCCAATTTTTTAAAATAACATTTAAGTCAACATTCTCCGTAAGGTCTTTTTCACATGCAAGAATGATTAAGTCATTTAATCGCGTATCAATCTTTGTGCATCTGAAGCAGTTTTTGACAATCATATACTTGCTGAAACACCTTTCATCTTTTGCAACGGACATTGGAGCGGTCAGCAATAGTTGATACGCCTTGCACACCATTGGAAAGACGTTTTTGTGATTGAAAGCAAATAACGCAACGTCTTGAAGGGATTTGGGTTCTGATTTAAGTTGTGACGACACAATATTATTGAAAACTTCCAACTCAGACAGCAGTATTTCTGCATCAACATCTTATACCGCCGGTGGAAAAAGACTACACTTTTCATGAACTGATTCATCCATCGGCCTTTCTAGTGGCAGCTGTACGCTCTCTCCAAAAGGTTTTATCTGGTCGATGCAAACTTTAATGATATTGGTATACTCGGTAATAAGTGAGTCTAGAACCAAGTACATTTCTTTTGGTACAAATCTTTAAAGGTCTTTCTGTTGTTATTTCGGAATGCTCACCAATTCGTTTGGGTGACTTTCTTGATCGATGATGACGAGTGTATTCTGCCATTACGTCTATTCCTACTTTGGTAACGAATGCAACCATTGCCTCTATCTCTGAGTCTAATCCGTTATCGTCACTTCAAATTTGTTTAAGGTTTTTTACTGTAGCATCAATCAGGTTAAGTGTATATATTATATTTAGCTCCTCCTCCTGCTGTTGTTTGATTAGGGATTGGTTTTGTCATTATGATTTGCATGAAAATAAGAGCAAAAAGAACGTCAAAACTAAGAAATTTCTTTTTTATTCCATCGCCTTTAGATTTTACTTTTGATTCTACTTCTCGAGCATTAATAACTTTCGCAATAGCATTCGGTATTACCTCACAACTTCTTCAGAGAGCATCAATGGACTCAAAATTGTAAACCGATCTTGTCTTTGACAAGTTTCGAAACTTTAAATTGTTTTCAACATCTTTGCAACTTTTTTCTACAATTTTATTTCTTTTTGTGCTTATGCTAAAGAGCACATATACGTAATCTAGAGCGCCATACGTTGATGTACTTATTGAGCTATAATTGCAACAATGCTCGTTGAATGTATTAGACCGATGTCTCTGGCAAGGGATGTAAGGCACTTGTCGTTTTAAAATTTCTTGCAACACTTTTTGAGCACCATTTAGTTATCCAGATATTGATGTTGCGAAATCGTATGTTTGAAATGCAAGCATATCTATATCGATTTCATTTTCTATTAAAGATTTAATGACACCTTTAGCCGCTCCAGCATCGGTTTTATCAAGGCTCTCTTTCATTTCAAGCCGTCTCTCGCATGGGATGCTCATCTGTTTGACATATTTACAGCGACGATAAGCATGTCTTGATTCAAAGTATTAGGTGTAGTGTCTGCAGACACAGAAAATACACCGGCTGACTTAATTCAGCACAAATTTCATCCCTCACAGATTGAGCCAGCAAATGATGCATCTCATTTTGTGCCTCTGACCTTGTATATGTTGTACTATATGGCCTTAGGCGCTGATCTTCCAGCCACAGCTTGAGAACAGGAGAATGTATTGGAAAAAGAATTACAATCTGAATGAATTTTCCGTTCTTGTC